TTATTTGAGACTGAGTGTGAGAGTTTCGAAAAACGCTATCGTAGATAGTGTTGTTGCAGGTTAATATGCAGCGGGTTAGTAAGGGCCAGGAGAGAGAGTTATTAAAGTCGTGTGAGGTCCAGATTTTGCGGGAAAATGCACAGAGACAGGTATATTGTTGACCCTTATTGACCCGTGATAGAAAACATGAGATTATACGATTATTTATTGTTGATATTGCAAAGAATTTGGTTAAAACACAAAATGTAAGGAGACAGTCAAACAATTGAATAACACGATTTGCCTATCAACCACACACTTTATAAGGGTCAAAACAGCTCCCATAACTCGGAACATTTACAACAATATCAAAAGATGTCATTTGTGTCTTTGGAAATTAACTAGGAAAACAAAGAGAGGTAGCATCTGTTCAAATCCAGTCTGTAATGAACATACACAGATAAACAGTGTGCACGATTTGTAATAAAAGAAAAAATGTTTTAAAACCCAATTTAAAGGATTTTTGAAGGTTTTTGTTAAATTAAACAACTGTATTATAACTTCTGTATAATTCTTCGCGTCCAAAAATTACATCTGTAATCCCGTCGCAGACTCTCCTGGGTCCGCTGGACCGGTTGCGTGAGTAAAATTGGTTGCCCTGAAAGAGTTAAGCACGTCGACAAGTCTTTGGACACATCGCATTTGGATGATACCAAAGCGGTTCACATTAAGCAGAAAAGAGCGAAGAATGTTTCGTAGTCCACTATGCATTTCGCTGAAAATCGATTATTCCTTTAGGGATTTTCCTCCGTGACGTACTGGCTCCGGTGGAGGAGGACCAGTTCGATCTTGCGAATTAGACATGTAGATCGTAGGATGACCGTTCGTTGCAGGCTCACCTGAGAAAGGCAGACAGAGAAGGATATAGCTCCTGGTTGCGGGACAGCATTCAGGTGTATTTACTGAACGACGCGAAACAAGTTTGTCGCTTCCTGCTTCCATGAAGATTGCGAGGAAGGTATCACTGCGAGTGACGTCACTTGCATTTCTGTTTCCCTGTTTCCATGCGCGTGGTCCAGTTCATTTCAGGCCGCTGCAACTTCTCTATTAAGCTATGGCAGGAGACTATGGAAATAAAGTACGAAACTAAGCGTCGACAGCGCGTTTCATCATTATTAGCAGTGTACAGCGGTGTTGGGTAGAGAATGTATTTTTTCCTCTGGCGGACTGTTTTTTGTCCTTCATATTTTTCGGTTGTCCGTTGAACACATCAGCCTAGCGAGGAGCGTTGACGTGTAGAACGCCTCTCTGTGGCATTCAACTGTCATTCAAGCTCCCAAAAGCGAATAAGAGAAAAACAATTAAAGAAGCGCGACAGCATCGCGGCACAACTATCAGACATGTGACGCCTCTCAAAAAGTAAACAGAAAAAAATGTTTCGTACTAGCGACGGAATTCGCGTTCTCCTCACATGTTCCCAGAAGTACATTTGTTGTTTCTCTCGGAGATGTCGGAGGTAGTATGTAGCCCTAAAGAGAGGGGAGGGGACGTGAAGCAGAGTGATGCTGCGTTACGTATGTAAAGGTAGTATTCGTTTAGTGTTTACGTAAAGCTGTATATTTTTTAAAAATTTTCAACACTGAATGAAATAATTTATTTTATTCAGTATTACACTAAATTACTAAAAATTACATTTTCAAATCTACATAAATTGAAAAATTAGGAGTAGCAAATAAAAGTTATTTATCATTACAATGAATGGAAATAATTTTTCATTCATGGAATGTTGGCTAAATTTGTTGGATTACAAAGAAAATATTCATAACTGATGTCTAGTATCAATTCATTCTAGAAACATATCATACTGCCGCAGTAGACTCTTGTTCATTCGTATCCATGACGGCGTGTGCACGGCTTGTTGTTAGACATTTTCTCACCTGTGCTTTTTCACTCAAAAATTATTGATTAACATAGTTTTAAGTGATGTAAACATCGACAACTAACTCAGTTTAATTATTAAAAATGTTAATATATAATAGAAATAAAATAAATAAATATTTTTGTACTGTTACGTAATGAATGTTTACTCATTGTAAATGGGGGTATAGTCGTACGTTTTACGTAATGTTTTAGTGTAGAGGGTTCAAGCGTGCGTTGCAGTTGCGTTGCAGGAGGGGAGGCGGTATTCGAAATATTCCAAATTGGCGTTACGTCATTTATGAACAACCCCTCTGTATAGGTTTTGCCTTTTAACTTAATCTTCTTATTACAGGACCGGTGTTTTACGGTACAAACAATTAGTTCGCTTACCCTCTTCTGACACACTGAAGTTTTGTATTTCCAAAGACACTGTTGTGAGCATATGCGTGAGTGAACCTTTGATCCAGATAAGAGCGCAGTGGAAATCTTCCTATCATATCTGGACCGGGACGAAACATGAAAACCACGCTCATTAACTGGCCGCGATCATGAACTTAATGGTAGAGATCATCTAGAAATTTGTGTGAGTTCTTGCCGAGCTTGCTACGCGAGATAATTGGTGGGGATTTGAAAACGATCAGTGTAGACTTAATTATTGGGCCATATAAAATAGAGCGGGAAATACAATAACGTCCAGAATATGGAGAGTATGTATCTACGGTCAGAGAGAAAATAGAAAGAGTTCGGCAAAATGAGGAAAATGTAAGGATTTCCCTTCGAAGATTGTAAGAAGGTGACTGTTGCGGTTGTTGGGTTATGTATGAAAAGCATCGGGAGATTAAGGTAAACATCGGTTTTCAGCGAAAATGCATGGTAGACTACGAAACATTCTTCACCCTTTTTTGCTTAATGTGAACCGCTTTGGTGTCAACCAAATGCGTGGTGTCCAAAGACTTGACATGCTTAACTCTTTCCCGGGCAACCAATTTTACTCACGCAACCGGACAGGCGGGGTTCAGCGGACCCAGGAGAGTCTGCGACGGGATTATGCTTACAGATGTACTTTTTGGACGCGAAGAATTATACAGAAGTTCTAATATAGTTGTTTAATTTATCATCCTTTAAAAATCCTTTATAACATTTTTTCTTTTATTACAAATTGTGCACACTCTTTATCTGTGTACGTTTATTACAGACTGGATTTGAACAGATGCTACATCTCTTTGTTTCCAAAGACACAAATGACATCTTCTTTTGGTATTGTTATAAATGTTCCGAGTAATGGGAGCTGTTTTGACCCTGATCACGTGTATAGTTGACATGCAAAAGGTGATATTTAATACTATTTGACTGTCTTCTTACATTTTGTGTATTAACCAAATTTTTTGCAATATCAACCATAAATAATTGTATAATCTCATGTTTTCTATCACGGGTCAGTAAGGGTCAGCAATATACCTGTCGCTGTGTATTTCCTCGTAAAACCTGGATCGTACACGACTTTACAAACGCTCTCTCCTGCCCCTTACTAACACGCCACATATTAACCCGCAGCAATACTGTCTACGATAGCGTTCTTAGAAACTCTCACACTTACTTAGTCTCAAATACCACGACGTTGAAATGACTTTGCCGCAACACATTCGTATTGTCTCCCCCACATTACTCGACTCTCTTTCTAAGAGACCTTGCACACAAGCATTTCATTGACGCGCATCCTATAATAATATGAGACGGCACACGAGCGCTTTGGCAGTTTCGCATAAGATAGTGTTAATCTACGACGCACGATAATGGCGACAATCGCAACTCAACACAACACTCGTATGACACAGGCCTAAAGCCCCAACAGAGGGAATCATAGCCGCGTAGGCGGTTTCTGGCATCGTTTCTGATGGAGAGTTATAGACGACCATAGCGACACTCACGTCGTGAGTTTCATGGCGGCACTCACGTTGTTAGCTTCGAAGCAGTGAGTAGGTGATACTAAGCCCGGTGACCCACCCTCGCGCGTCGACCTTTAAGCGAGATTGGGCGAAGGATGTTCTTCGGAATGCACCAGATCTCACATATTCGAGTAGATATCCAGATGGTATCCATGAAATCCCTATCTGTAGGCTTACTTTCTGACGGTACTCACGTCGATAGCATAAAAGAGAATTGCAGCGAGGACACAGAATGCTGGCCCGAGCTACTCGGACCTTAGTTCAGCCCATTGTTGGACACTTGGATTCGTCGTAGCAGTGGTCACGGACTCCGGACAAAGAGGAACAACTTATTCCGGGCGCATTGTGAGTGGCTCATTGAATGGACTCCGGCAACGGCCTGGAAAGCCGGTAGCTCTGAGGGCAGTCAGACCCGGGAATTAATTGAGTAGGTAGCCGAGAGAGTAAACTGCTTTCTGGCGGGGCCAAGATACTAGCCTGCCGAATACTTGTGCGTTGGCGGGGTGTGTGGATAAACGATGACGCCTAGGTGCCCTCCCAGGGGTGAATTCACCCAGGTAAAACACAATTGTGAGGAAGGCTCACGACATACATACATGCACCCCTCTCTCTCTCTCTCTCTCTCTCTCTCTCTCTTACACACACACAATCATACACACATCCTCACTTACACATTGTCATACGCACGCACTCTCGCACATCCGCACACACACGTTCACACTCTCACACATGCTCACACTCGCACACATGCTCACACTCGCACACATGCTCACACTCGCACACATGCTCACACTCGCACACATGCTCACGCGGACACACATGCTCACGCGGACACACATGCTCACGCGGACACACATGCTCACGCGGACACACAAGCTCACGCGGTCACACACGCTCACGCGGTCACACACGCTCACGCGCTCACACACTCTCACACTCTCATGCGCTCACACTCTCACGCGCTCTCACGCGCTCTCACGCGCTCACACGCGCTCACACGCGCTCACACGCGCTCACACGCGCTCACACGCGCTTACACGCGCTTACACTCTCACACACGCTTGCCCTCTCACACTCATACTTACAAACACACATCCTCCACACAGACACACACCTCCTCAGAGACCCGAACCGCGTGCGTGCGTGCGTGCGTACCTGCGGCCAGAGCGGCGCGTCCGGGGAGCGCGCGCGCGCCCAATACACCATGGCGGCGAGCTGCAGGGCGGTGAGGGCGGCGCCGGCGGCGGCGGCGTCGCGCAGGCGCACGGGCAGCAGCGCGTAGCCCACGTAGACGCAGAGCAGCGCGGGCATCGGCGCCGCCGCCCCCAGGGCCAGCGTCAGCGCCGCGAACGTCGCCAGCACCGCGTACGCCACCGCCAGCAGGTACACCTCGTTCACCGCCGGACGCGCCAGCAGCGCCGCCAGACCTGCAACCACAAGCACCTTCCATCGCTGACGCCCTCGGACATACGCGCTTAGACGTATTTCACTTTCTCGCTATGGAGTACAGAGAATGTTATGTAATGCACTGCCAAAAAGACGGCGAACAGAAGGGCATTTTTTTACGGAGGGGGTCTGGTAACAAAAAAGTGGATAATTCCTGTTGCAAAATTTAGAAAAAAGTATTCTGACACGTGATGTAGCCAAAAATCCATGACGGCTGCCGTCTGCCCGTCTGTGAACAACGCTAGCGGCTAAACCGTTCAGGCCATTTCTCCAGAATTGATATATCCCCAGAAAACTGGCCGATGTCGCTGTCAGTTGATTTTGAAACTGATATTTTGATTTTGGGGGTACTTTGCATGAAGCCCCAGGGACATTTTCAAAATTTCCACGAATGACTCCATCGTTTTGGTTAAATTTTATTGTTGGATAGTGGGAAGGACGTTTAAGAGGATTGTGTAGGTCTCATGTTCGTTAAAAGCCCTGATATTTCGAACATTGCAAAAATTTAAACTTTTTTCCATGTCTTCCTACAACTAAAATTATGAAGATAGAGCTTTTCCCTGAAGACTGTTCCTTACAGATAGATTTTGAAATAAGGTCATGTACAATGTTTCAAACATTTGAGTACTTTTCGGGCAATTTTACATGAAAATACAGGCGAGAAAGTACCTGCTGTTTTAGTTCCAATAGTGACATAAATGACGATAGTATATTCTTCAACGACGGTAGAATAAGTCCTACGCGGGTAGAAGACTATACTTTCCTTCCGACTTTGAAATTCATGTTTTAAAATACTAAATTGGCGCCTTCGTCTTACAAAATGGCTACAGATCACACAATGTTCTCTGACCCTAAACAATCATAAACTCGCATTCTGTTTCGTGGTTCATCTGTTACGACAGTTATGACCTGCCGCGGCAGAGCGCGCACACTCTCTGTAGGCGGTTGTGAGAACCCACTGTCGTGAATAATGAACTGAGACGAATGCGATTGGTCGACAGCCGTGCGAGAGTAATATTCTCGCACGGCTTGTGGATTCGTCGTTATTACTGCATCAGATTACGCGCAGAAATGTATACATTCGGTCATGTATACATACAGTCGTAGAGAAATAAACATATCGTGTTGATGATGGACAACCTCCTATGTTACAGAATTGGTGATTTTAAATTTTGATTTTGGTATCAATGATTCATTTGCTTATTCTTTATTTTGATAATAAAATTTCCAACGAAAACTAAAAATTGTCTTAAAATAGAAAATAAAAGCATTCTATATGACCTTTACAGTTTACTGATAAAATATCTCGTATGTGGTAAGGGCCACATAGGAGGTTTTCGTAAGATGCTTTCAGAAAAATTTTGCTGTAAGTATTTAGTACTGTTTTACAAAAAGTGTAGAATGCCTAAACCAACTGTACATTATTAACCTCAAAAAGTGCTTTTCCTTCCTGTAAAATTTTGTTTTTTACATGCGAGGTTGTACATTATATTTGCATTGCGATGCATAAATTATATTTGCATTGCTGCCAATGAATAAGATACTTCATTGTCGAAACAAGAAAGACAGATCGTGTATTTTGCTGCCATTTACCTATTGTATGTTGTATGGTACACTACAAACTCTGACAGCCGCCTCCGTGTTTGCATACATCCACACTGTCACCCCATTCCTAGATGTAGATCAACATATCAACTATTAGTTGGTTTTTATCGCCTCACTTATGTTCAGCAGCGTAAGTAGCAAATGCCCTCTGACTGCCTAAAAATCGTCACCTTCAGCGAACATATTACCGCCGAATAGTTACTTACAGGGAAGCAACCAAGTTGGAAAATACGGAATTAAAAGTACACAATCTGAAGATAGTTGTGTATGTCGGGTCCATGTAGGTGTATTCATACGACTTCATGGCAAAGTATGAAAAAACAGCCAAAAATCTCGTTCGAAGGGGTGGTTGAGCAAGTGATGTTCTTGAGAAAGCCCAATCATATCAAATAGCGCAGTCGGTAACCATGCTGACAAAAGCGTCAAACCGCTGTCACGATTGTCACGCTGTCACGATTTTCACAAGAAAAGTTCAGTGCTTGAAGTGATCTTACGCTCGATAAACTGTGTCATCAAACAACGTATCAAGGTCTGCTCAGCCCGATTACATGTGCGTTCGGCAGTTTCTCGCGAGCTTTTTTTTAACGCGGTGTTCCCGCGAAACGCAGGGTAATTGTAACTTGTGAATTCGCACATGTGAACTGGCCATGAAGGATTTTCTGCACACCCAAGTTCGTTTAATTTCCGTGTTCTCAACCTCTGGATGCCGCCTTCTAAGTCGTTCCCGTGACATTTATCGTTTCAATTCCCAATATTCATTGACGTATTGACAGCAATAGCCCTTAACGTCACTAATTCCACGAGATGAGATCAGACTTTGTAGACTGCTGCCCATTCACCATCAACGTTACGTTCGCAGACATCACAATCACTGTCAGTCACATCTATCACAATTACATATTCAATTACAGCACGATAACACCTAACCTTCTCAGTCACCTTATTGCACGACTTTACCATCACTTAGTTAATTCAACCTTTTTCACACTGAGCATTCACTTTCCTCCAGTCTTCATTACTGATCAGATATCTTTGTAATTTGTATAACGATCTTTGTGTCTGCGATATTAAAGTAGAAAAGAGAGGAAAAAAGTAACATAAACGAACATAGTTTGATGAACCCTACAGGATCGTAAATTCACCAAATTTTATACGCAAGAACAACAAAATCGTATGCTAACAGGCAAAACTAAAACAGAAATAACCCCAGTGCGTGCTTTTTCCGCAGATAAAATGTTCACAAAATAATTACACGTAGCAATAACCACTCGCACGATGTAAAAGGCTTTTAAATAGCGCTCAGTTTAACGACTAGATCCACGCATTCGCACGCGTGCCCGCTCACCTGTGTGGAATAGCCGCAGCCGAGAGACCCGATATAAAAACGCAGCAAATTTGAATGCGCAAAATGTATTTATGCAGCACCTAGAAGCCTCGGCGGGTTTGCCATCCTGACGCTGCAAAATCGTTGTTGAAAACTTCACCACTCTGCGAAACGGAACGTTAAACTTATGTTTGAATATAAATATATTATTTTTGTGTAGATGTGTTTGCTGAGTCTCTATAATACATCTGTTTGTTGATATATTTTTGTTAATTTGAAAACAATATAAGACCAGATTTTCTTCACAAAAATAGGTTATTGAAGTGACTGATGAAATGAAATGTTTTAAAAATGTTGTTTAAATTTTTTTACTGAATTTGTTTCCAAATAAAACTTGGAGAGACTATTCAACTATTTTTTTCACGCTGTGTTGCATATTTACTCTTTTGTATCTTTTGTATTCCAAGTTATACCATTTTAATTAATTTCTATTACTTTCGTAATCTTCTTAATGATTTCCAGTATTTATAATAATTTTTTAACTAAAACAAAGGCAAAAGATATGAAATAATATTTATCGTGCCCGGAGAGCATAAAGAATTACGTGAGCGAGGTGATCGGCCGAGTAAATATTGACGGCTGTTGTATTCCTAGAGGCTTCAACTGCAGATGCCTTTCATTTGCATAAGAATGATCGGGATCTTCCCCGATCTCTATACCACCTGGTGGGAATCGATTTTCTGCGGTAGCGGAATTTATAGTGGTAGCAGGAATTGGATATCAGCCATCTACTACGAATCAGTAGCACACTCATGAATATTTACAAACACACCTTGAAAACGTATGAAGCGATAGGTGATTTCAAATCAATTTAACATGTTTATCAGTTTTTCAGATGCATCTTTTTTATTGAATGATATGAAAGGACTGTCAATGTGAGGATATCTTAAGACATTCGCTGGAAATTTAACTTGTAATAGAAGAATTTAAGTAATGATACAATTATTACAAAAAATGACGTAACTGTTGAAAATTAATATTAACCCTGATTGTTTATTTGACATTCAATTGCTTAATGTGAACTATTCCTATTTGTGAATGATGATGACAGGTTTTTCTTCACACACACGATATTTTTCCTTATAAGTTGGAAATATAATTTTTGGATTATATGAAGGTATAAATGCACATGCTTATTCTGTTTCCGTATAAAATGTTTCTCAATTTAGTTGTAGTAAACTAGCCTGATTAAGGTTCTTCTAATGACATATTTGTGGGTTGCAGAAGCGAAAGTGAAACATAAATGTTGTACATTTTTTATGCTACAACTGTGACAGCATGAATTATTTTGGAGGGAAATGTGCTTTATGGTTCTCGGGAGTGGAAGTGTAACTTTCAGCACTTATGGGATAAATGAGAGTAAACCAATAAAAAAACTAATTCAATCCAGCAAAGTTAGCGTAGTTGTAATGAATGTGTTTGATTAAAACAGGGGAATATTGGAGTGAACTGTTTCCTGATTACGGGATTCGAGTGTGCAATATGTAATAAACGACCACTCCTGTACAGCATACAGAATACCAGTTCTGGCCGTTTTCACTAACTGCCTGAATACAGCATACAGGAAGTTGTTGGTTGAAAATTGTAATTAAGTGTAAAATTGATGAGAGTACGTTTGGCAATATTAAGTGTAATAGAGGTAAAAGAAATGAATATTCGCAGAAACTGAAGATGAATGTTAACGCTGGTTTGTCAAGATTGGTAGTAATAGAAGTAACAACGTTATTAACCGTTTTTGACGTAAATCAATAAATCAATAAATAAATAATATATGAATGCTATCAAGTCGAAATACAATGTTATCTCAGGTTATAAATATTTTAATTGTTCAAAAGACAATTTCATAGTGTTCGAGTTTAGTTTTAGTTCAGATTTGTTAATTTGTGATGTTCTTTTTTGGTAGATTTGCTTTCTCTCATACTACTTACGTACTAGAGATACAGTATTTTAATTCAATCGGTTTAAAATTATCAGTTAATAAAGTTGTTTGCAGAAAGGTTTAAAAAGATCTTTATTTTCTTTTATAATATTGGATAAAAACATAATGTTATAAATCCAGGGAAACAAGCGTTTTATTATGAAGGTCCTAATATTACCTGCATGGCTGTTCTATTCAGCTGTTGTTGCACCTCCGTAATTAGTTAATTAATAACCATTTCGTTAGCAGTGTCAACTTTTATTTCTTGCCAGACGTAGATAAAGCATGCGTGAAGCTCGTCCCAAAATGCATTATTCTAAATTCAAATATTTCAATACAAGCATCAGCTTGTATTTATTGATTCTTTCTAGAAGTCAACCAATGGATGTGTAAAGAACCTTTTCCTCTGGAGACGTAAAAAATTTACAATAGCACAAAATATGGGAATACCTAGTCATAATAATTTCGCAGCAAGCAGGTAAAAATTATGTTTTTTTTTCAAATATTGGAGAAGGCATATGTGATGCTGCTGGTGAAGGCAAAATTTCATTTGCACATGATTTTGTACATGATATTGGAAACAAGATGATCTTCTTTATTTTTCTAGTTTTGAAATAAATATTCAATCGTCTAATTATAAATGTGAATGAACAATTTTGTCCAACAAATAAGAAATTAGATCTTGTATTTTAACGATCATGTATATATTGCCTGGTGAAACTGGAAAAAATCAATAGACATGGTTCTTTACAGTGTTCAAGGCATGCTCTTTTGTGAATAATATTTTAATTCCTTTGTACCACCTAAGATACCAGTCCGGAAGCAACAGTTAAAGACAGTATCTGATCATTTACTTAGAAATCTAATGTTGTGCAATAACATGATGGAAGGTGAAGGATCTCAACAATAATATCTTTGAATATGAAATACTAAATAAATGTGGAAATAGAAGTCTGTGTTAATATTAAAAACTCCCGGTATAGCTACTGATTTGCCATTTTATTTTAAGAGGCTAAAGTTCCCGTGTAAATGGTCATTTGGAGTGACAATTAAAAAACCATAGAGAATTCTTTGAAGATAGTGGGAATTAATCTTGACAGGCTTGACAGGCAGTGCTTTATTCACGGATATCTATAACAAGTAGCCTGCTCGAGAGTCTCCAGTAGTGATAATTTATAAGTGGTCCAAGCTATTGGAAGAAAAGCTATTGATGTAGTTAATAACAATACAAATTGTGTTTGTGTTTATATTTAAGTGTATGAATTTGTAATTTTTTATTACAAGAGGCATTGCACAGAAATAACATTTTTTTAGTAAAGTAAAAGTATTCAATCGAGAAACGGTGATGAAAATAAATTAATACAATACACACTAGCAGAACTCAGCAGGCATTGTCCTACTATCTTATCTTTCCTCTCCTATCACTTTCCTCTCTCTCTTTTACCCTCTCTCTCCTTTACCCTCTCTCCTTTACCCTCTCTCTTTTACCCTCTCACTCTTTTACCCTCTCTCTCTTTTACCATCTCTCTCTCACCCTCTATCGGTTCTTCCCACCTGTATCCTTAATCCCACCTGTCTCCTCAGCCCCAACTGTACTCTTAGTTCCACCTATCTCCTTCGAACCACTCGTCACATTCATCCCACCTTTCTCCTTCGTCCCCTGCCTTCGCCTTCCCATCTGTACTCTCCGTCCAATCTGTCCCTACCATCCTATCTGTCCACGTCGTCCCTATGTCCCCACCGTTCCCTTAATCCACGCTCCGTGTGGCCATGCCTGTAACTCTCCTTGGCGGCTTGTGCCACGTTGCTTCTTATGACATCTACCGCTCTGCTTACTGCCCTTTTCTCTATCCCAACTCTTATTCGGGCCCCCGTCATTCGGGTCATCCGTTCATTGTCTTTACTCCTTCCTGAGGGTGGAGGAGGGAAATTGTAAGAGACGAGTAGATTTCATCCAAAAACAAATCCGTGAGGATAGGAGATTTCAGAGACAAATTATTTTCAAGACACACCGAGTATTCGAATTTCAAATCGATTCAAGTGTTGAAATGTCAAATGTGAAGAAAATTTATATTTTAGTTAAAGTAATAAGTTAATAAAATTGGCTCCGCTGAGGAAATCTCTGAGATCGGTCGATTTTTATTAGGCAACCCGCGAGATGTTCATGCATTGAGGGCTTTCGTGACGCAACGGTTCCCGCAATTGAATCGGCGATTGAGAAATAAGACCTTTTCTCTAGTTCCGGGGGGGGAAATCTTAATAACATCCACAGTTGACATATGGAACATTTATGACTCATGCAAAAGTTGGAGAAGTAGTTGCTATTTATTGCTTGGACTACTCGGTAACTACAAATTTGCTGTGTGCTGCAAAAATTTCTGTGATATGCACCGTTTATACCTCAGACTTAATTTCTTTATATAATAATTAAGAAATCTTTTTTAAATTTTTTAAATTTTGAACTTACGAAAGAATTTAATCGTAGAATTAAGATATAATGATGAGAATGAACATTATGTACTATATGAGCATGGACAATACTCTCACTAGATTAATCAGCAACTACTCATAATCGATTTCCATCTGAGTCTGTGGCTACGCCAAAACTTTCTGGTAGAAATAGAGATATTTATGTAAAAATATTTTACAATTTTTTAAACATCCGTTATTTTCTTTCCATTGTTTGGAAGAATATCTGAGACATAAACTTATTTGAAAGGTAAATCTGGACATACCTTCCTCTTTAGCAACACGAATAAGTTCTTGTTAAGCCAGTCATATATTTACTCACGGGCCACAAGGTAACCAAAATATTATCAATCACACGTTAGATGCTTACTTGGAAAAAGTCACACCAGGATAAAATGAGGACTGCCAGGACGAGCAAGAGACTTGGAAATAGTTTGACCATCAGATTTTGAAGTTTTTGATGTCCTCTTTATCTATTTCTGTTGTCACGTAACATTTAGTCATTTTCTTGCCGATACTAATAGTTTTTCTGTTTGAGGATCAGAAGCTGGTCCTAGACTTATTTCTCTTTTACATGCATTAGATTTTTTAGTTGTTAATATAACACATACTTTAAAATGGTCAAGTTTCATTTTCACTCTGATTGAAGAATAACAAACAAAATGTGTATCTGAACTATATTTACGAAAAAAAGTGGACCTATTTACTATTTGTTAAACCACCTATGTAATTTTCCTGTCACATTAATTTGAGTATTCGTTGCGAGATCACGAAGGAGCAGGAAGAGAAAGACTAATATTAATATTTACTATGAAAGAGAAACAGGCGAGGAAGAAGAAAGGGCTTTCGCCTTAGCTCAACAAAGTGCATTCTGTATCCACTTAAAGAATAATTTTCCTATGTATATTTCATGTAATTCACAGAGATCAGTTACAATCCTTTTCCCGAATTTCAGCGGTACCTATTGTTTATCGATTTCTAGCACCACACTTCACCATACGGACAACGTCCAACCAACGAACTTCGTCGCCTTCATTGTTCACTTCGCTTTACTCCTCCCCCACCTCTTACTCCTCCTCTACGCACGCCCTCTCGCGGTTTGGCCCATCCATTATCTGATCGTGGCTCAGAGTGTATTATGCTGTAAATTAGCTGCATTATGTAGTTTAGTGCCAGCTGCTCATTTGCGATGTATTGACATGCAGGACGTTGAGAATTGATGTATCTACTGTCCGTTACTGATGCGAGGATTAACCTGACTTTATCTTTAATGTTATTTGGTTTTTGAAATAAAAGGATAATTGAGATAAAAATGGTAAGAATAATGTTAATAAATAGGGCCGGATTTTAATGAAATTCCATTTTTCTTTCTACTTTAGAACAATGCCGTTTACTAAGAAATTCCTTTTATGTTATGACAAAACAAAATGACCCATTTTGATACGTAATTTTTTCATATTTCGTCAATTTCGAATAATAAGTCACTTTGGCATTTTAAATCACTTTTAATGCATTTTTTGCGGATTTCATCGATTTTTTATCATTTTAATGATACTTAGTTTCAAACAATATTTACGAGATGCAACAAATGTCCACCACAGAATTCCTGAGTCGCGTTTTAGATTTCTTCGCTCATATATTGTAATGTCAGCCGTTGTGAGTACTATGTATTCTAAGGTTCCTGTGACGTCTGCAGGCGCCATTATCAGTTCTGCCGATTTCGCTATAAATAAAGGCAGAGATTTTATTTTAAAGATCAGTTCAAATCAAAAGTTTGCATGTTGAGTTCACTTGAATAAAAGGAAGAAATCTCGATTACATCAGTAACATATCCAACAACTTGAGTTGTACATCTGAAGTGTTTTTGATCAATTTATTACGTAATTTTCCTTGTTTTTATGGTATTTTAAAACATTTTAAGAGAATTTTATTGATCATTTTTGGCAGTATTTTAGGTCATAATTATCCGCCGCCTAGTAATAAATATTATTATTATTATTATTATTATTATTATTATTATTATTATTATTAATAGTAATAATAATAATAATTTAATGAGCGTAGGCTTGGAGGAATTTAAGCAAAAAATAAGTAGAAATATAAAAATGAGAAGAAATAATACATACAAATATGTAAACAAAACACAGATATAAATAAAAATGTAAAAAACAATCAATTGTGTATCGTATTTCAAAGTTTGAAGGAAACAAAAAAAAATGTGTAAAATGGTTAAGTAAAATTATAAAAGAAACATGAAATAAATACGAAAAAAAGATTTTTCATTAAAACAGTTGTTTTGAAAAAACGAGAATTTAAATAAACACAAACATGAGCGGTAATGATAACGTTGTTGATGTTGCATTTATATCGAGTCAACAACGAAACCAACGATGTTTAATACAGTCAAAAATTCCATCTCTAATTGTGAAAATGCGTAATTTAAGTTGCGAAATTGACATACAGTTTTTGTTTGATGATAGAAGGCAAACTACCTAGTTAAATTGTTAGAACCTTGGATACCGTCGCTGAGTGCGTGGTTTCGTGTAGGTTCTGGCGTTTCGAGGATGGGGGGTGGAAACGTACCGAACACTAGCTGTTCTATCCGCAGTCGTTGCCCACCCCGTTCCTTCCCGCCCCACCCTCGCAGGCTGACCTCATACTACGCGCTCTGCCCTCACTCTAACTAGTGATGCGACAACAAAACATCGATGTCCAAAATTAAAACATCGATATTAATAATACATTGAACAAAATACATCGATCTTTTAAAGCTGACTAACCACTAACATTAAAGTTGTGTCACCAAAACATTAATTTGACAGAGACTTACTACTTTAACTTATAATTAAAATTTAACATGAAACAATTAAAAACGCATCCTCATTTGCGAAATATGAGAAACTACGAAGGTTATTAGGGTTTCAAGATCACCTCGGGCGATCACCTCGTCAACTGAATGAAGTCCGTGCAAACAGCTTTCGTGCGGTTTCAACACAAATAGCGGTGCCATCATTTCTTTTTTCTTCATATTTTAACTTTTACAAATTTGTGATTATAGAAATTTTTCATCCCGGAACGTAACATTGAAGACTTAAATACATCGATGATCAAAATCATCGACTTGATATCGTTTCCTTGCTTCCAACGTCCGCTGTCCGTGAACCATCTACTGCGCTCGCTGCTCGTCCCTTACTCGAACCCACTTCATTTCTTATCAGAACCGACTCCTTTAGTACCATCTCTTCCCTGTCCCCGTCCAAGCTCTGTCTCGTCCGCGTCACACGCACGTGTTTTCCAGCACCATACAAGTGTTTTCACATTCCACTCCAATCCTGTCATAGACGCCAACCTATCAGGTTCTTCCCCACCCCATCTCTTTCCCCATCTTTGATTCATCCCTATCCTGCCTTTGATTCATTCATATACTGTTTGATTCCTCTTTATCCTGTCGTTGTATAATCTTACTGACTTTGATTCACCCATATCTCGTATTTGATTCATCCACGTCCTGTCTTTGATCCATCTCTATCCTATCTCCGAGCCATCTCTATCCGGTATCCGACCCCTCTCTATTCTACCTTCGACCCAACTCCATCCTGTATCCTATCCATCCCCATCCTGTTTCCTATCCATCCTTATTCTGTTCTCATCGTATCTCTGTCCTTTGATATTCCCGTCCCATTCCATACATTCATCTCTATATTGTTCATTACATTCCTATCCAATTCCATTCCTGACATTTCCCCGTTCCATCTCTGACCCGTCTCCGTCCTGTCTGGTTCAGTTCCGGTCCATTCCGGCCTCTCGCCCCACCTCATTCGTCGTGTCCTCTTTTGTGGCTCCCAGTAACGTCCCGTCCTGTCCCGTCCTGTCCTGTCCTGTCCTTCCTGTCCGTCCCCGTCCCGTCCATTCCTGTTATGTCCTGTTATCCCATCCCTCTGTTCTGGCTGCATCGCTCGCACTTCTGCAACCCTGAGCTGCCCTCCTCCCTGTGCTGCTGTGGCGTTACCTGCCTTCCGATTCCACAATGCCCCGTCCTTGTCGCCGGGGTGGCCCGCGCTCGCGGTTGCCGACCGATCAGCGAGATTCGCGGGCGCGACCCCCCACGTGCCCGGCTCCACGCGGCTGCGCGCGGCGGCGGCGACCGCGACCGCCACCGCCACGGGCGCGTGAGGCAACGCGACGCTCGCAGCCACACTGCCCCCGCGA